TTGTTTATTATCTGATTCATGTTGTTTATTATCTGATTAATGTTGTTTATTATCTGATAAATGTTGTTTATCATCTGATAAATATTGTTTATTATCTGATTAGTGTTGTTTATTATCTGATTAATGTTGTTTATCATCATATTGATGTTGTTTATTATCTGATAAATGTTGTTTATTATCTAATTAATGTTGTTTTATTATCTGATTAATATTGTTTATTATCTGATAAATATTGTTTATTATCTGATAAATATTGTTTATTATCTGATAAATGTTGTTTATTATCTGATAAATGTTGTTTATTGTCTGAAATCTAAAATTGCACATTCCAACTAGTCCCAGCAACTGCCCGACTGTTCTTATTTTGTTTGTTTGAGTGAATTAAACAATTTAATTTTTTGAAATTTTAACTGAAGAATTTGCTTTACAGCTTTGTGGATTAGCAAATATTTCTAGAGCCTCGTTTTTTAGTTTGAAATATTTGAAATGAAAAATCTCGACAAAATATTTATTTAAAATATTTCAATGGAGTTCTGAATTTAAGTAAACTAAATTATTACATCGTTAAATAAAAACACCGGCCTGGATAGATTAAAGATTTGTCGATTTTTACTCAATTTATTAAATGGAATAAAATTCAAAATTTAATTTAAAATCATATATTTCTTAATATATCATTTATTATGAAATATAAAATATATCTCAACATCTCAGTAAGGCTAGTGAGAACCAGAAAACTCCGGAACAGGAAGACGACTTTTAGACTCAAGTTTTGACTTTAAATAGTCCAAAAAGCTTTGGCTACAGTATTGTTCAGATGAGTAATCAGATCATTTCACGGAATAAGTGATTTAATAAGTCATAAGTAAGTAGTAAAACTATTTGCTGTGTAACAACTTAAAATAGACTAAAAACCATGCTTTAATGTCGTCTTCCTATTCCATTCCATTAGCCATACACAATTATTTTAAATGATTCAACCTTTTAAAAGTTATTCCGGTTAAACTCGAGGTTTGAATTTTTGGCAAAATTCAAAAAATTTCTGTATTCTTGAGAGAGATACAAACTTATCACACATTCTTTTGAAATTAGAGCTGACACATATACAGGGAATACTTTAGACTCATAAGATAGGCAATGAGCAATGGCCGGGCAAGTTAATCCAGATCATGTTAAACCCCGATCATCTACCTGAGCTATAAACTTTAGAATCGTGGATATCGAGATCAATGCTAGAGCTTTTCTTCTTATTAATCTGACGATTAATTAAATCTTACATTAACATCAAGGAAAGTGTCTAAAATGCAAACCAATCAGAGTGTCGATTGCAGAAAACGAACAACCAATCAGAAACCTAGAAGTTTTGCGCGCAACCAATGAGAAAACTCTCGTCGGTGGAAACCCAGCAGAGATATATATATGCAAAAGAGAGAATTAGGAAGAAAGCGTCTAAAATGGATATCGAGATCTATAGCAATTTGGATTAAGGGCATCTGCAATACAAAGTGTTTTCAGCTCTCAAACAATATTGCTTGAAATTCAGCCTCAATATCATTTACCCGGCATTTATAAATTAACTTTATATCTCGCAATGTAATAGCTTTATCTGAATTCGGAATTTTTTAAATGATAGAATTAGTTTAAATCTGTTTAAATGAGATGAACTCATACTTTCATTTCTGTTTGAACAATAGTTTAGAGGGTAAAGAGGGGATAAAATGAGTTCAAATCAGTTCAAATCAGTTCAGATGAGTTTAATTCGAATTATTTAATCATTCTGGCCGTTCAGATATTAGATAGATAATCATTATAATTTTTTAATTTTTTTATGATTAGTTAGCTCCACATTTTTCTTTCTTTCTAGAATTCATGCATTAACTTAATATTAAGGATAAATTATCATCAAAAGTTTAAAATATTACTTAAGATAGAAAAAATGCAAATTTTCATATTATTTTAGGTAAATGAAAATGCTGAAATTTTGCTGAAGGAACCTGATGCAGGAAAATCAAAGGTAATGGAAAATGTACTAAGGCATCATTTTATTTTTTTATCGCTGATAAAAATCTAATTAATGAATTCATAAAAAAACATTTATTTTGTTAAAATGCATGTAAGTTCCACCCAAAAATTTTGTACCAAAACTAAATGATCTAATAGTTAACAGGTTACTTAACCTTTTCATTTTTTATTGATTACTTTGATCCAATCATTGGTTATCTGCTTAAACAATTAGTCATTTGATTGATTGATTGATGAAATGATTATATAATTGATTGATTGATTGATTTTTTGGTTGATTTTTAGGAACTATTTCTGAGTGCTGGTAGAACCCTGGAGTTAATGGAAACTAAGGAAATTCTGCAACTCCTACAAACCATTCTTGATGTAAGCAATCTACTATATATACCCTGTAGAGTTTACCCATCTTAACTTTTGTTACATTTTTCGTATTCATTTAAAAAAAAAGGTTCTTTAAATGTATCCTCCTAAATAGACAATACGGGAGAATTTTAAGTATCGAATTTCCGCAATTATTCAGCAAAAACACAACGTAATCCAAAAATATACAATCTACAATACTGCACTCTCAGCTCAACTACCATGTCTAGCCGGTCACTCTCTTTAATCTAACTATTTGTGTTCACTAATACACATTGTAATTTTAATCATTTTGTAATCAAATGTCATGCTATTGGGGGGGGGGGGGGGGATACAAATTTAACACAAAAAAGTTTTTTCTTTCTTTCTGGATCGTCTAACCCTACATTAAAAACTGATATCTTCCTAACAGAAGTACGTATCAGGTTAGAAGTATAAATTATATGCATGGACACAGTTATATTCCTATTATGTACGCAAGTGATTTTGGACCAGTTTAACTTATCTCAGGAAGAAAAATTTTAAAATCCCCTTCCATTTTCTTCAATAGGGATAATTATCCACATTACCTAAACATTCTAAATGTGTCGATTAAAGGGAGCGTTCGCGAAGAATGAATGGGTCTACAGGCTTACGGCGAAAAATTATCGCTTTTGATCACTACTAATCTTACTTCTATCTGTTGCGTCTATAAGGAGAAAATTGTTAAAAACGACTTATACTGAAGAACGTAGCGTTCATACAAAGTTGCAATATACAACTCGGATCGTAAAATAATCAATTTAATTTCAAATATTACAACCTAAAGTCTAAGTTTATTCTATACAAAACGAATATTAAATATTAACTAAATAGGAATGCGTCCGAAAAACAATCGATGACTAATGGTTGTAATATCTGAATGACTTGTTTGAAATTAATTTAATTTTTTACGTATATTGCAACTTTCTGAATTTGTATGGACGCCACGTTCTTCAGCATAAGTCTTTAAGGACGCAACATATAGGGGTAAGATTAGTAGCGATCAAATGCGATTATTTTTCGTCGTAAGCCTATAACCCCTTAAATTTTCGCGAACACTCCCTTTATGATAAATGAGTTTTTAAAAGAAATTGACTGTCAAGTAATTAACAAGTTTTATTTAAATTTTTCAATTAGTTTCTGTTTCTTTTTTATCTCCAAGTGAGCGTTAACAAGTAAAACACACTAAAGATCTGTTAGACTTTCGTTTCCAACTAGAAATTGCAGATTTAGGCCTAAACACTTCAATAATATTACATTTTATATTTCAGCATATTGCAAGGATTAGGGCTCCCTTCCTTCAATGTACACGTTATTTTAAGTCAGCTTGCATTTAAAGAGGGAAATGTCCGATTTACAACTGTACCCCGTTAAACCTTTATCTGATCAATAATAAGGAAGATATTGTCGTTTTTCTATCTTAAAAAGTGTTTCATGCTGTTTATTTGATTCTTTGAAAACCATGATAAGAAATTCATATTTTTTAGATTGAAAAACAAGGATATTTTTATTATTTTTTTCTCTTGATTATTTAGACAGGTTAAACTTATACTTTATATTTCAGGATATGCATGATAAACTTATATTTGATATTTCAGAATATGCATGATAAACTTATATTTGATATTTCAGGATATGCATGATAAACTTATACTTGATATTTCAGGATATGCATGATAAACTTCTACTTGATATTTCAGAATATGCATGATAAACTTCTACTTGATATTCCAGGATATGCATGATAAACTTATAATTGATATTTTAGGATATGCATGAAAAGGAAAAAGAGATTTTAGAAACAGAAGCTAACTCCAAGATAGACAGTAGATTAGCTGCGCTGGAAAAATATAAAAAGGTAAAATATTTTTGAATTATGAAAATGATAATTTACTTTTTCAATATTTTCTGTTTAGGTGAAGAGCCAGCTCAAGATTTAAATTCAATTGATCTCTTTTTACTAAAATGCTGATATTTTTGATTAAGCAAATATTTTCTAAGTTAAAAGATCTTTTGAATTTACACACTTTTAATTTATATTTTGCATGTTATTATCTATTTGTCGTTTTTAACTGTATTCAAATTTTTTGATAATATTTATTTATCATGAAAAAATATATTGAATTATAACAATAAATCTGTCAAATGGATCTCCTTCATTTCATATTGAATGATAAAAGATTGTACGGACATGACAAAATTAGAGATATAGAGAGCTTGAAAAATGTTCCTATTTAAAAACTAAAAGTTTCGAAACACGGGTTAGCCTAGATAAAAGAGTTACAGAGATAAATTATCAGCTAAAATATGCGATATTTTCCACAGGATGTTCTATTGCTTATAAGTACTGTACACGACCAATCAGCAAACATCTGTATTCAGGGATATTTAAGGATCCTTTGGTTACAAAACACAAAATCTTCAAAAAAAAAGACTGAATTCATAAATGTTATGTTTCATGTTTAAAATTGGAGTATTTCTTTAAAAGTTGTAAAACTTAACCCGGGTCAACTTAGGACTACGTAGCCCACCCTGTGAAAGGAGATAAGCAGTCTGTGTAGTCTGTGGTTACTTTTACATTTAGGGTCATTGTGGCTGAAGCTCAGCTTGAGTCCTACTAAACATGACAATTTAATGACGACAAACAATAATATTAATATGCATTTCTAGTTACTATAGTAAACATTTAACAGTGAGGATATCTAGCTTTATTTCATTTTTAATCTTTGCTATGGCGTATTTACAAGGTATGATGACGGGACAATAAGAGAATAGAAATAACATTTTCTGTACTATAGTTCATTAAAGTTATTATACAACCCGTACTATAGTTTATTAAAGTTATTATACAACCCGTACTATAGTTCATTAAAGTTATCATACAACCCGCACTATAGTTTATTAAAGATATTATGCAACCCGTACTATAGTTCATTAAAGTTATTATACAGGGTGTCCCAAAAAACATGGGAATTCAGTGACGAATTTGATATCGTCTTTGTTATGAATTAGCATTGTAATACCTAATTTCAAAAGCCATAATATTAATATGTCTGCTAGAGCTTATTTTATGAAAAGGGTAAAAGACTGTAAAGATGTGTCTATAATGTCTCCGCAAGATGAACAGTGAAGACAGACAAGTTTACTCTGTTTGTATACTGCAATTTTCTTGTTTTACAAAGTACAACTGTATGCAGTCAAAACATAAACAAACAAAATGTAAACATAGCAGACGAAAGTCTTACAGATTACAGCTTTCTCGGTAGGTATCACTACACTAAATCAAAGAATTATTTGAAAAGACGATATCGAATTCGTCACTGAATTCCCATGTTTTTTGGGACACCCTGTACAACCCATCCGCACTATAGTTTATTAAAATTATTATACAACCCGTACTATAGTTTATTAAAGTTATTATACAACCCGTACTATAGTTCATTAAAGTTATTATGCAACCCGTGTTATAGTTCATTAAAGTTATTATGCAACCCGTACTATAGTTTATTAAAGTTATTATGCAACCCGCACTATAGTTCATTAAAGTAATTATACAAGAATACATTATACAAAAGAACATAATGCTATGTTGTAGTTCAGAGGACATAACTAAAGAAATAGAATAAGCTAAGGAATGAGACTTAGCTGTCTTTGAGACTAAAAACATCTAGTTCTGGAGAACATTTTAACCTCAGACTAAGACTAATTTTAGACTGCATGTTGTAAAAAAACTTTAACAAAACTGGTTAAAGCATTTGAGTTTTGGAATTGATGAAACAATTGCTTAAAACAATAAAAACTGAGAAAGCTTATACATATTACATATATACATGTACATGTAGTTAATGTACGCAAATTAGTAAATAGTCTTGAATCTTATCAAGGTTTTATACTTTGTATATATATATATTTATATATTATATATATATACATACAAAGTAAAAGTAGACTGGCGTCTTTGAGTTCTGGATTAGTATTTAAAGGACTCTGAGAATCTCTTGGCTGAGTGCTGGAGTGCCGAAACTGAAGAATATGTTGTTTCTCCCTTCTTCTGTTTTTCTTCATTTATTTCAGCAACCAGTGGCTCAATCATAACCTTGGTAGAAATCAAGGTTATGTAATTTAGTAAGGTTGCTTACTCTCAATACGCTTCAATGTTCGAGAAATGTCATTTTTCAAGCAATGGACAGTTAAATTCGTATATGACGTCAGAGACCTTTCAAGATTAGAATTTGAACTTTATTACAGTCATAACCATTAATATAATGCGGAATTAAGGTTGTCCATTTTATTATTTTGGTAAGAAATTTTATCGTCATTTTTTGTTTCAAATTAATTTTTTTAGTTTTAGTTTCCAAAAAGGCCAAGGACCAAGGGAAGAGAGAAAAGAAAGTATACGTCAGGTTTCACTGAATCTTATTATACAATGTTGTATTAGAATATTTTAAAAATCCATATCTGAAATTATTTTTGAAACCTGATCGTCAGGGTGCAGGAAGAAAGCAATACTTTGTCTGGCTTCTTTCCTCTCTATCTCTTCATCGGGAATTACAACCCTAAACAAATATATTTAGAGAAGAATTATTAATCATTATTTTGTAGTTTGAATGAATAGATTAACCAAGGGCCGTAAAAAAGCGGGACTCGATGCTAAGGAAGATTAGATTTAAAATTTTATTATCAATTTTATTACTTTTTGGAAACATTGAAGCGATGTACGGATTAAAGAATTGATAATTTAAAAACGATTTATAATCTTTTTCCTGTTTTGGTCTTTAGATCGAATGTACTGGGTTTGCGGTGGTACTAAAAAAAGTAAAAATTGACTGGAAACCTATGAAATGTTGCTGAATACAGTTGATTGGTCCACATCTCTAACATGTCTCCAATATTCACCATTAACAGTCCTATATACACACATATATACTTTCCTATAATGAATTAATAAAGTAATGTAATGCTTTTTTAAAGAGATTGTTTAAGCATTTAAAAATATTCATAACACCTTGACACAGGACTAATTTTCATAAATAGATGTAAAAGCATATATGTATTTAAATAGGTAAAAAATCCCTCTAAACCTGGTCTTGGAGGAACAGATATCCATCCGTCAGTCACTGTTTTCACCTAAAGTTCAATTCATATTCATAAACGTTTTCACAAGTGTCAATAAATTCTGTTACTCCTGAAACTTTGGTCCCTTCTGTAACTTGGGTTACTTTTGTAACTTCATTTACTTCGTAACTTTATTTACTTCTGTAACTTTTTTACTTCTGATACTTCGGTTACGTCGCAACTTTGGTTACTTCTGTAGCTTCATTTACTTCTGCAACTTCATTTACTTCTGTAGCTTCATTTACTTCTGTAACTTCATTTACTTCTGTAGCTTCATTTACTTCTGTAACTTCATTTACTTCTGTAGCTTCATTTACTTCTGCAACTTCATTTACTTCTGTAGCTTCATTTACTTCTGTAACTTCATTTACTTCTGTAGCTTCATTTACTTCTGTAACTTCATTTACTTCTGTAGCTTCATTTACTTCTGTAACTTCATTTACTTCTGTAGCTTCATTTACTTTTGTAACTTCATTTACTTCTGTAACTTTATTTACTTCTGTAACTTCGAATATGTCATACACTTTAATTACCTGTGTAACTTAATTTACTTCTGTAACTTAATTTAGTTCTGTAACTTAATTTAGTTCTGTAACTTAACTTACTTCTGTAATTTTATTTACTTCTCTAAATTCATTTACTTCTGTAACTTCGTTCACTTCTGACTTCATTTACTTCTATAACTTTATTTACTTCTGTAACTTTATTTAGTTCTGTAACTTTATTTAGTTCTGTAACTTCATTCATTTCTATAACTTCATTTACTTCACTAACTTCATTTAGTTCTGTAACTTCATTCATTTCTGTAACTTCATTTACTTCATTTACTTCTTCATTTCTGTAACTTCATTCACTTCTGTAACTTTATTCACTTCTGTAACTTTATTCATTTCTGTAACTTCATTCACTTCTGTAACTTTATTCACTTCTGTAACTTCATTCACTTCTGTAACTTTATTCACTTCTGTAACTTTATTCATTTCTGTAACTTCTTTCACTTCTGTAACTTTATTCACTTCTGTAACTTTATTCACTTCTGTAACTTCATTTACTTCTGTAACTTCATTCACTTCTGTAACTTTATTTACTTCTGTAACTTCATTCACCTCTGTAAATTCATTTATCTCTGTAACTTCATTCACTTCTGTAACTTCATTCACTTCTGTAACTTCATTTACTTCTGTAACTTCATTCACTTCTGTAAATTCATTTATCTCTGTAACTTTATTCACTTCTGTAACTTTATTTACTTCTGTAACTTCATTTACTTCTGTAATTTCATTCACTTCTGTAACTTTATTACTTCTGTAACTTCATCTAGTTCTTCATTTATTTCAATAACTTAATTTACTTTACCTGTAGTCCTGGATATTTATCTTGATATAAGAAGGTTAGAGTTCCGTAGTCGGTGTGTTCCCCACATCTTAAACAAAGATAAAACATTCTAATTTTCTAATCCTTATATCTTTTCAACCTGACGTCGTTGACCTTTTATTTTACATGTTATAATACCTCCGGATACTTCCTGATTCAATACCTGCTACTTCCTGATTCACTGTCTTACACTTTCTGATTCAATACGTAATACTTCCCGATTCAATACCTGATACTTCTTGATAAAATACTTGATGCTTCCTGATTCAATACCTGATACTTCCTGATTCAATACCTGAAACTTCCTGATATAATACCTGATACTTTCTGATTTAATATACGATACTTCCTGATTTAATATACGATATTTCCCGATTTAATATCTGATACTTCCTGATTCAATACCTGATACTTCCTGATTCAATACCTGATACTTCCTGATTAAATACCTGATACTTCTTGATTTAATACCTGATACTTCCTGATTCAACATTTTCCTTGATCGGTGGATAGTAAAGTGATCGCAGAGAAGTTTTATTATTTCCAGAAAGCATTCTCCTGAACAAATTATAAAGGTTTAGTCATAGTCATAGATTTTTGGACCCCGCCCCCTACCCCATCCGCTTTTTTTTGTTTACGAAATTTTAAATATTTTTTAACATGAAATTAATATTTCAGAGTTAGGTTAGGTTAAGACCATTTCTGTTCTGAGCGCTAGTACTAGGACAGATCAGAAGGCTGAGAGATGCGGATAGGACAGGCTTGGGGTATGCTAAATGAGGGGGCTGTGCGCTGCGGTGACAATGTCCATTGTCCAAGTATGCCCATGTGTTATATATAAGAAGGATGTACAAAAATTAAAGCTGGAGTCTAAAAATCCTTTACTAGCAAATTACCATAATTAGTAATAAAAGAAAGAACAACACATATTAATTTAGAAAAAAAACATGTTTTACCTGTAAATGTTTTACCTGTAAATGTTTTACCTGTAAATGTTTTACCTGTAAATGTTTTACCTGTGCAAGTTTTCAAAAAAATGAATCTTTTTATTCAGAGCAAGAGAGAGACAGCGTAACAGTCTAAAAAAAAGGTTTCAACATTTTTCAAATTAAGATTGGAAAAACTAGTAAAAATTTTAGCTTAAAAACGTTTTTGTTGGGGGATTATTTTGTTTAAACCTTTTTTTAAGATTTTTTTCGAACATAAACTTCCTTTGGGGATTTGTGAGTTGGGTTTTGACATTTATTTGACACAATCAAACAAACAAGCAAACAAGCAAAATATACATAACAAATATACATAACGAATAAATAAAAAAATAATAATTTTTACCTCGTAGCAAGTTCAATAGACTCGTGAGCTAAATCCTAAATAAGAAAAAACAGAATTTTAATAGATTTAGTTGTTTCTTTGCAGATGATTTTTCTAAATCCATCCTGTTAATAGAGTTCTTAAAAAAGAGTTGAGATAAAAATAAGAAGAAAAGGATGGATACAAATAAAGATTTAAGAAGAACAGGATAGATACAAATAAAGATTTAAGCAGAACTGGATAGATACAAATAAAGATTTAAGAAGAACAGGATGGATACAAACAAAGATCCAAGAAGAAAAGGATGGATACATAGAACAATTTAAAAAGAATAGGTTGGATACAAATAAAAGATTTAAAATGCACCGGATAGATACAACTTAAGGATTTACGAAGATTTCAGAGGAAATGAATGGATACAATACAATAGTTTGTATTCATATTGATGATAAAGGAATTAATTAAACGCAGATTACAAATATAAAAAGAATATGCAGAGAATACAAATAAAGGATTTAAGAAGTACAGAAAAATACAAAGAACATTTTTTAATGATTTTTAATGATTTTATTGATTTTATTAAATTAATTTTCTGTTCCTGAAAGGCATTTCTGTTCTCATTGTTGATACAAGGTAATCTACTATTCTCCCCGTCAACATAGAATATATCAAACGCTTCGCGCAGTTCTGTCACTGCTTGGCTGCCATCATTCTTTAGAGAAAATATCATTATTATTATTATTATTATTATTATTATTATTATTATTATTATTATTATTATTATTATTATTATTATTATTATTATTATTATTATTATTATTATCATTATTATTATTATTATTATTATTATTATCATCATCATGTAAAGTATATTTTTATTATTATTACTGTCATTATTTTTATCATGTAAAGTACATAATACCTGTTTAAAGTATTCTCTGTTCTGAGCCACCCAGCCTGACATATCTCTTCCTTAAATAAGTAAACAAACATCATTTTATATTTATCATTTTAGTCCTTGAAAAAAAAATTGTAAAACATGGAATCCCAATTAACAAGAATGGTTGATTTATGTAAAAAACATAATCTATTTTTCTTTTTCTTAAAGTATGAAGTATAACCTTTTTCAGCAATCTAATCACATGACTGATGATCCTAACTTTTTTGAAAAACGTTCGTTTCGTTTCGTTAACAATGAGAAAAAATCTATTTACGTTTTTGAAAGGGATAAAACTAAGTTATGATAATTTTTAAGAAGAAAAAACGAAACTATCGGTTTCAAAACGATCGTTCCATAAAACAATAGTTTTCAAAACGATCGTTTTCAAATATGGAAAAACGATCGTTTTCAAATATGGAATAACGATCGTTTTCCAATATGGAAAAACGATTACCTTTCTTATTTTCCCTCCTCCACTCATTTTTCTTCTCAGCGTCCTGAACACAAGTTTTTATTTGGTTTTGTGAAACCATTGTTTAATTCATTTGTTCATATTTCCACCTTTATTATCTTCCAAACGACAAGAAACAACACAGAAAATTGCGAAGGAACTAATCACTCATCTCAAACTCTGTTTTTTTATAATGTCAATTTTTGAACAGTTTAGAAAATAAAAAGTTTAACAAAAGGTTTCAATTATATTAGAAGGAATAGAAAATTAATCAGTCCCTTTTCATGAAATCAAAAACTTCTTTGGAAGAACCTTTGAATATGATCAAAATTCTCCAATATCCAAACCCCCATCCCCTCCCGCCCCACCCGACTTCCCTCCCCTGCATTTGCCCTTGAGTCTTGGCTTATGTTTTGAAAAGGATTTTCACTTTAATGATCTGAAAATGTTTTTATACCTGTTCAAAGAATAGTTTGCTTTCTTCCATACCTTAAATCATGGTTCATTAGTTACTTTAATGCAAAATTTACTTTTATTTAATATTTACACAAATTTATAAAATTAATTATTCCTTTTTTGAAAAATACCTTTCTTTATGTTTTGTGAATTTACCCCATGGTTCTTTAGATAAACGAAACCTAAAACAGGAATTTTAAAGTTTAATAAAATCTGTTCTTTGCCTTAACATTTTTAAAAAGTGAAGAAGGTAGGTAATATTTTCCAATAAGAATTGGAATTAAGACGACATTCTATTGTATCCAACTGAGAGGATATTTTAACTTGAGTATATCTTTAATAATATCCTTGTTATACTTCTCTTATGACGTATATACATACTCTGCTTTGAAGCAGAATATAATAATCCCTCAAAGAGGAAGGAAAAGATTAGTCCTAAGGCAGCGAGATAATTTCCATCCAGAGTTCCTTAAATAGGAAGTTGTCGGAAAACGGCCCTGGTACCATAGAAATGCACTTTTCCTTCCTTATATAGGTATGATAAATGTTTCAAAGCAGAGTAAATACAGATTTAATCTAAATTTAGAAATAAATATTTTTAATAATCAAGTATATCAATTGTACACTAAGGGATTGTGTCTTTGCCACAAACTTAAATCATTTAATCTACCAGAATTCATAGTTTGAAATATCTAAGATATAGGTATTAGAAAATCAGAGTCGGTGGAAAAGATTCAATTCCTTTACCTATTTTTCTAAATGCCTCATCTACCCAAATAAATGATCAAATCAAGCTAGTCAAGTAAAAAGTATTTTTAAGAATTTTTTGAATTGTTATTAGATGAAAAAAGTGTATGCTTGATAATTTTCCTAATTGTTTTCCAACCATACGATAATCGTCCAGGGTAGGAGTCACAGTTGCCAAACCTTGACAAATATTAAAACTAACTTTTCAAAAACGTGCTTATTTATAATATAATTGAAACCTATGGCTTGAACATCGATGATCAACACAGAACTTTCCATTTTATCTAAAATTCTCTCTTTTTATTATAACACTAAGTATACTGGATGTTGAAGAAAAAGGGTCTTTTTTAAGCATTGCATCCAAAATTCTCAAATTTGGGCTCCAGTATAAAACTTCAAATTATGATTTAGTTTAGATAATGAAAAGTTTGTAATATAAACATTTTTTAAAAGATAGATAAAATAAAATGTCAAAGGAAAGGTAGGAATTGATGAACTAGGTACAGTAGTTTTTGATTACATATTGAATGTGACAAAATGTGCCCTAAAGGAACAAGTTCACCTAGCTGAACTAATCTAACTACTCATACTTTTTATCTACCCAACCTCAAGATTTGCTAAATGAATTTGTTGCACAACGCATTGTTTACAATAATGATTGTATATTGTTCATACCCCCCACTCTACCCCCCCCCCACTTCTTATCTATAAATTAATCTATTAGTACTGTAGATACAGGGAGCATCATAAAACAGGATCGAGTCAATTCTAAATTAACAATTATCATACATACGTTTTGTGTATTTAAAAAGGCATTCATTTCAAAAACTACAAAATTAGAAGCTTTTTCTAATAAATTATAAAATCCAACTTGTAAATACTCTCTATTTAAATGTATGGATACTTTTTTTTCAACTGTATCGTTATTTCTTCTTTCTTCTTCCCCCCCCCCCCCCTCGAACCCACTTCTCCTACATTGCTCCCCTTTGTGTCATATATTAAACAATTCTAAGGAATCCTTATCTCTGAATTTATACAATAAAACTTAATCGAATTTAAAACGAAATGAATATTGTCCCCCTGATTTTGTACTTTTCTATCAATTTTCTTTTTTCAAGTTTTCTCCGTTTTCCTTCTTCAAATTGTACAGATTTCCTCTTCTCCTGTTCCTTCTCTTCCAACTACATCCGATCCCACCAGAATTATCTCATCTTTTCACCTTTAATGTCTTTTATACCTCTTCTTCCCTCATGCATTTTCTGCCCTTCTCCCTTCCTCATTTAATTCCACCCCTCCCTTCATTCATTTTCCACCGTTCCCTCTTCAATTCCTCAACAATCTTCTTCCCTCCTACCCCCCCTTCATTTATTTTCCACCTCTCCCTCTTCTTCCCTCCTACCCCCCTCTTCATTTATTTTCCACCTCTCCCTCTTCTTCCCTCCTACCCTTCATTCATTTATTTTCCACCTCTCCCTCTTTAATCCCTCATCCATCTTCTTCCCTCCTACCCCCCCATTCATTCATTTTTTTCCACCTCTTCCCTCTTTAATCCCTCTTCTTTCAAGTTTTGTACTGTTGTGTAACGTGACCTGATAAAATGGAAGCCTTACATTCAGTTCTTATTCTAGATTGTTATAATGCAGAACACTTTTCTAATATTTAACGAAGACGAAATTAAAGAAAAACTGAAGTGCATTTTGTATTGTTAAAAAGCAAATTTGTTAACTAGCATTAAGTAAATTAACTGTATTAAGTAAAATGGGTCTGCTTAGACTGCACATGTGCCGTGCCCGTGTCTCATGCACATCGGATTTTTTAAAATCATAACTTGAGTTTAAAAGTCTACTTCCTATTCCAGAGTGTTTTTTTTATATCACTAGCTGTATGTCTGATAATAATAAATGTGTATGATTATTGTTTAATGAATTCTAAGGGCGAAACTTTTTTGTTTTGTTTGGGATAGCGCTTATCTTATTTTTTTCATCGATTGGAATAGAAACCGTCTGAAGTCGAAGATATAAGATTCAAAATTGGACACGTTCCAACTTTTTCTAGCCGTTTCGTTAATGGTTGTTCCAACCGTTTAAATTACCGTTAGTTAACGGCATTAACGGAAAATTATCAACAATCTTACAAAATTAGCGCGTTTACGGCCAAAAGCGCTAAAAATGTCATTAACGGAATAGTACAGTATTAACGACGGTGAGGGCAAAAATATTCGGTAACGGTTTTTAAACGCAGAAGACGACATTTAAAAACATGAAAACGCGTAAAATTTTAAAAATTAAAAAACTAAATTTCATGCAATTTTAATCAGAAAATAACGAAATTTACCGTTTTAAGCTTTTTAGTTAACGTTTTTAACCGCTAATTTTTTTTCAAAACGGTTAATCCGTTTCGTTAAATATTTAAAAATTAACGGTTTTTGTCGTTCGTTAACGGACTCTTCCGTTAATTTTCGAAAACCCCCGTTTCATTAACCGAACTTTGCGCGAATCTAGCTGTAGCCATCTATGTTTAGGACATAAATTCCCAATTTTAGATAAAACTTTTATTTTAGACTTTGTTTGTAGCTAAAAATGCAAAAAGAACGTTTTCCTGTGGTAAAAGGTAAAAGTAGACATTTTCAATAAACTTTAAATAATTTTTCTTGTACGTATAGGAAACATAGATGATGTAATAGGAACTGTATAAGTGAATCTGTTTGTGTGGAGTGGCAACTGGCAAGTTTATTCGCAACAATTTGACCTTTTAACCTTTCACTCAACTATGATGCCGGACTCTTATTTCTCTTAATAAATAAACGATGAAAGATGAAAAAACTGTGTCAAGTTATCGTTCTGAAAAAGAATTTGGCGGAATTTTTCTTGAGGACATTGTCGATTTGCTTGATTTGAAACTTACTTGTTTAAAGTTGTCTTTCTGTGAATTTATTAATATATATTTTTAGACGAGTTTGTTTTCGATGAAGATTTAGCAGATCTAGGTAATATAACAGGTTTAGTCAAAATATGTTCGCTTCATCAAACATTTATATATATTTCTATTTTATTCATCGTTCTTTGTTTTTATCTAGGTTTTAATATAGTCATGGGTTAGTACTTTCCACATTCCCTTTCTAACGGTGCATGGGCCAATTGTACGTAACAGATTGGCCGATATTTAACGGTTTAGAACGAATTTAGAACGATTTATTCCGTTTATTTTGTGCTAATAATAATATTCAAAAAGTTCTGTGTTCGTTTTCGGAAATTTGTCCAATCAGGTTAAAACAACGAGTTTTTTATCCGAACACGAGCAGGTATATGTTGCCAACTTTTATATTAATAGATATATTTTTTAGATAAGAGCTGGGAACAATTGGCGGAGGAACTTTTAGGAAATACAATTCTAAATATTTCAGTTTTTTACCATAGAAATATTCCAGTTTTTTACCATAGAAAAGTAAAAGTTTCTGTATTTTATCGAATATTTTTATTATTTGTATTTGATTAGGCGAAACAGCAGACAACAGGTGATTAAGTAAAAATCTAAGGAACTGCCATGGGAGGGGGGGGGGGAGTATATTAGAAAATCAAATATTTTTCTTAATCTGTGAGCCTCTGAATAAATTAAGTGGGCATAATTGTTAAATATATTTTAGATGATCTCATTTATCTTTTTAACAAGTGTTTTTACAAGGTTAGCTAGGCTAGCTAGAAAATAGCCTAAGCATTTAAGAGACTGTTCAGAGTTCAGAGTAAAATTCAAATATCAACATTATTTTTGGCATCAAAAACGACACTAATACATCTCCTTTCATAACATTCATGAGAAAGAAGGAAAATTGTTGCTTCAACTCTCTAGAGCAGAATGTTTAACACCATGATGTCGTAAAAAAACTCTGATGTAAAGTAACAACATATTTTACAATTATCATTCACTAAATCAGTCAAGTTTAACTGGGATTGTAAGACAAAAAAAAACAGCCAATACAAATTCAAGAAGTTAATATCTTTTCTGTTTTTACTAAAGTTTATTTTGCTTGTTTTAATATCTCAATTGGTATATCTTTCTTCATACAATAACAACAAATTTAAAGCTTGTAACGATTATATCTCAATTATATTTGAAAACATATGTCAGTTATATATGTAGGAAGGATTGTATTATTTACATATTTTTACATATAGGAAATATAAAAATCGCATGAATAACACTTTTTTACATATAGAAAATATAAAGATCGCATGAATAACACATTTTTACATATAGGAAATATTAAATCGCATAAATAACATATTTTCATATATAGAAAATATAAAGATCGCATGAATAACACATTCTTACATATAGGAAATATAAAATCGCATAAATAACATATTTTTACATATAGGAAATATAAAGATCGTATGAATAACATATTTTTACATATAGAAAATATAAAGATCGCATGAATAATATATTTTTACATATAAGAAATATAAAAATCGCATAAATAACATATTTTTACATATAGGAAATATAAAGATCGCATGAATTACATATCGCATGAACTACATATTTTTACATAAAGGAAATATAAAGATCACATGAACTACATATTTTTACATATTGGAAATATAAAGATCGCATGAATAACATATTTTTACATATAGGAAATATATAGATCGTATGAATAACATATTTTTACATGTAGGAAATATAAAGATCGCCTGAATGACATATTTTTACATATAGGAAATAGATCGTATGAATAACATATTTTTACATGTAGGAAATATAAAGATCGCCTGAATGACATATTTTTACATATAGGAAATATAAAGATCGCATGAATTACATATTTTTACATATAGGAAATATAAAGATCGCCTGAATGACATATTTTTACATATAGGAAATACAAAGATCGCATATTTTTACGTAAAGGAAAAGTAAAGATCACTAAATTACATAATTCTACATATAGGAAATGCATGATAGAAGAATTCCGAGCCAGGATAGAAGATGACAAGAAGTTGTTTGGATGGATGATGAAAGATGAATCAAGGTAATAATCTAACGAACGTGATATTTAAGTTGTAAAAAAACTTTAAAACCTACCTGCAGTTTATTATGTGTTGGCATTTTCAGCCATTAATCTAAAGCTATTTCTAAATTGTCCATTAAAACTTTTTATATAATTTTAACTTGAGCATTCGATTTTAGATTTTTTGTCTGAATAATGTAAATTTTTCTTTAAAAAATACATAAATAACGTTTTTCCTGAAATAATGATTTGTTGAAATAATTTAGTATTTTTCTCCACAGGTTTTAAACACATCTGTGGAAGCTAATTACTCAGAAACTGAAATGATATTTTTCAAGACAAAAGATATCATATTAGAAAATATTATATTGTCTACTGTTGTCTCAGAAACTATAACGAAATTTCCCGAAAAAAACTACGAATACAGAACTTCATCCAAATGTCGTATTTTTTCTTTCTTTTCCATTTAAACCAAAGCATTATTTTTTTTTAACAAATAATTGTCTTCTTCTTTGAATTCAGTTTTGGATATTGTGAAACATGAGCTGAGCTGAAAACTTTAGAATTAGATATCCTTAATCCTGATCGGTAAATTAATCTAGAGATTAATAAAATGAGAACAAGCATTATTTAATCTGGAGATTAAGAAAAAGAGTGGATCCAAGTATTAATCCTGTTGTCCACCATTTAAAAGTTCCCAGCCTGAAAACTTTAGAATGGTGGATATCTTAATATCCAGACTAACCTAATCTTTTACTTGTATCCTGAAAAGTGTATAAAATTCAACCAATCAGAGTCGCGTATATGAAGCTGATAAATTTGAAATTTTGCGCGCCATTTACGATTATATAAAGAAACGGGAGGGACTCTCTAAATTTAAAAACCTGTTTTTTTCTCTACTATATCCAAGAAAGAACGGTTTAAGAAGAAAATCAAAAGTGTGTCCATTGGATACTCAGATTAAGTATTTGTGATTAAGGATATCTAATTCTGAAGTTTTCAGCTCTGTTGAAGTCCAGTTGATTCCACACAAATCTGCAACTTACATAATACATCTTTTCTGAATTCTTCTACCAACTCTAGCGCAACATCGACGTTGTTAGGCTTGTTGAGTATAGACGAAAACACATTTGATTTCAAATAAAAGAAACCTCTGGTTAGTCCGGGGTGGAGGGCATAATCATTTGTATTTCTATGGCCCCTGGAATTTTCTTTAAACAAACAAATGTTTGTCTCCATCTAACTTTTCTAGATTCTCTTTTAATATGATGCTTGTTTCGTCCCAAATATGTTTATGAATTAAAGTATATAAAGGTCAGAAACAGGGTTATCCACAAAGGATGAGTCTGTAAAGACGACCTGAAACTGTAAAAATATGCATATTTCGAAGGTAAAATGATTCTTATGCTTTGAATTTAGTTTTTTAAAAGGTAGCTACCCCCCCCCCCCTCCCCCCGTCCTATTGTCTGTGAAAATTTCTGATCCGGAAACAAAAGCATTGTTGCCGAAATGTGTTAGACTTGGACAAGACAAATTTTGGGTTGTGCGCTGGGGCTACTTGGGATGTAGATTATGTAGGGGGGGCAAGCGATTATCCCCTTTTGACATTATACATAGCTTTTTATTTTACGTGTTCCATATGACTTAATTTTCAAAATCAAATCCGATATTTTAATACAATGTATTTTTTGGTTGAATACAAGCAACTTTTTTGTTAAATATAAACATTTTTTTTTGTTGAAAATACGCCAGATTTTTGTCAAATATATGAGAATTTTTGGTTGAATGAAAACGATTTTTTGTTGAAAATATGCGTTTTTTATGTTGAAAATAAGCGACTTGATTGTTAAAAATTAACTAAAATAAGCGATTGTTTCTTGAATACGCGATTTATGTTAAGCGATTTTTGTCGCCTAATCGGGTGCCATCCAACTTTTCACCCGATTAGGTGACATTTTATTGCTTAATTATGATTTTCTAATTTAGAGTGTGGTTTAGAAAACAAAGAAACAATTTAACAGGTGCAGGGAATCATGAATATTGGAAAACATACTGCAGTACTAATTTCGTACAATCGTCTCCCAAGTCTCATCCTCTCATCCTTTGTGGGTAACCCTGTACATTAATATTAGCTAGATATATATAATATAATTTTAGAATATAAAGGTTTTACAATTCTAGATTTCTCTGTGTTCGTTTCCTGACAAGATTTCTGCGTGCTGGAGGTTGGGAGATCAAATCATCTTTACAGGTTCTTAGGTAAACATTTAATCATTTATTTCAGGTTCTTAGGTAAACATTCAGTCATTTATTCCAGGTTCTTAATCTTAGGTTAATATTTAGTCATTTATTCCAGGTTCTTAATCTTAGGTTAACATTTAGTCATTTATTCCAGGTTCTTAGACAAACATTCAGTCATTTATTCCAGGTTCTTAGACAAACATTTAGTCATTTATTCCAGGTTCTTAGACAAACATTTAGTCATTTATTCCAGGTTCTTAATCTTAGGTAAACATTCAATCATTTATTCCAGGTTCTTAGGTAAACATTCAGTCATTTATTCCAGGTTCTTAGGTAAACATTCCGTCATTTATTCCAGGTTCTTAGATAAACATTCAGTCATTTATTCCAGGTTCTGAGACAAACATTTAGTCATTTATTCCAGGTTCTTAGACAAACATTCAGTCATTTACTCCAGGTTCTTAGACAAACATTTAGTCATTTATTCCAGGTTCTTAGGTTAACATTCAGTCATTAATTCCAGGTTCTTAGGTAAACATTCAGTCATTTATTCCAGGTTCTTAGACAAACATTTAGCCATTTATTCCAGATTCTTAATCTTAGGTAAAGATTTAATCATTTATTCCAGGTTCTTAGGTAAACATTCAGTCATTTATTCCAGGTTCTTAAATAAACATTCAGTCATTTATTCCAGGTTCTGAGACAAACATTTAGTCATTTATTCCAGGTTCTTAGACAAACATTCAGTCATTTACTCCAGGTTCTTGGACAAACATTTAGTCATTTATTCCATGTTCTTATGTAAACATTCAGTCATTTATTCCAGGTTCTTAGACAAACATTTAGTCATTTATTCCGCATTCTTAGATAAACAATCAGTCATTTATTCCAGGTTCTTAGGTAAACATTCAGTAATTTATTCCAGGTTCTTAGGTAAAAATTCAGTCATTTATTCCAGGTTCTTAGGTAAACATTCAGTCATATATTCCAGGTTCTTAGACAAACATTTAGTCATTTATTCCAGATTCTTAGATAAACATTCAGTCATTTATTCCAGGTTCTTAGATAAACATTTAGTCATTTATTCCAGGTTCTGAGACAAACATTTAGTCATTTATTCCAGGTTCTTAGACAAACATTCAGTCATTTACTCCAGGTTCTTGGACAAACATTTAATCATTTTTTCCATGTTCTTTGGTAGACATTCAGTCATTTATTCCAGGTTCTTAGATAAACATTCAGTCATTTATTCCAGGTTCTTAGGTTAACATTTAATCATTTATTACAGGTTCTTAGAAAAACATTTAGTAATTTATTCCAGGTTCTTAGACAAACATTCAGTCATTTATTCCAGGTTCTTAGACAAACATTTAGTCATTTATTCCAGATTCTTAGATAAACATTCAGTCATTTATTCCAGGTTCTTAGATAAACATTTAGTCATTTATTCCAGGTTCTGAGACAAACATTTAGTCATTTATTCCAGGTTCTTAGACTAAACATTCAGTCATTTATTCCAGGTTCTTAGGTAAACATTTAGTCATTTATTCCAGGTTCTTAGGTAGACTTTCAGTCATTTATTCCAGGTTCTTAGGTAAACATTTAATCATTTATTCCATGTTCTTTGGTAGACATTCAGTCATTTATTCCAGGTTCTTAGATTAACATTCAGTCATTTATTCAAGGTTTTTGGGTAAACATTTAATCATTTATTCCAGATTCTTAGGTAAACATTTAGTCATTTAGTAAAGGTTCTTGAGTAAAAATTCAGTTATTTATTACAGGTTCTTAGATGTTTAAAATTATGAATTCTGTTAGATCAAATAACATAAGTTTGTAATGTGAAAGATTTACACCATCAGGCTGTAAAGATATTGGGATTAGAATATTTGATATTCAGACAAAGACTTAATTCCTTTCAAGGAATTTCTGTTGAATTATTGATGAGTTATTCCAGTCAAAGGAATAAAGTTTTTGTCGCAAACTCTGATTTTATTTTCCCTATACCTTTTCATTTTATTGTCGGAGACCTAAGATATTTCAAACTATGAATCTCTTTAGATCAAATATAAAAAGTTTGAAATATCAAAGGTTTACACCATCAGGTTGAAAAGATATGGCGATTGTAAAATCATAATTTGTGGCAAAAACTCAGTTCCTTTGAATTCAGATATCTATACTAAACAGGTTTATTTTGCTTGTCTGGGTACGTGTATGTTTGTCCGTTTGTCCGATTATATCTAATAAACGTAAAAATTACTGAACGACCAGAGGCCAAATTTAAAGAATTTGAGCCAAGCTTAAATTTGAGACCCGGCTCAAATATGGTCGGTTCCACTTAAAATTGTATTCAATTTTTCAAGATTTAAGCCGGCGCTCTATTGATCCGGTTTTTGGCAGATTTAAGCCGCAGCTCAAATTCATTAAATTCGGACACAGGCCAAAATTTGTCTGGGACCTCAGATGATCCTAAAATTGCTAAAATTTTAGAAAATTTTGGTTATGCGCAAAAAAATATTTCAAAATCCACGAACTTTTTTGTTATTGTTTTATATTTTACAAAGAGAATATGCTTACAGATAGAGACAGAATTAAAAGTTGAACAAAATTAAAATTAATTAAAATAAAAATTCCATTAAATATTTTATCTTCATGAGTTATTCCTTCGATTGAATTGTGAAATAATTAAGGAATTGATTGAATTTTATACATTATTATTTATTCCTTAGTCTGACGAATATTTGAGGATATTATCTCTTTTATAAAGTATTGAATGTTGATGAGGATTTATTCCCTTTATTGCTGTAAACATACTACAATTAAATTTACGTGAAATTTAAATTCTTCTAAACTTTGGAATACTTAAGGAATTATTTTCGAACATTTAAATTTGAGAAAATTATTTGAATTCATTAAAAACTGTAACTGCTTTCGAAGCATTATTCAATTAAATTGTTATATTTTAAACATTTTCTTTTTAACTTGTCAATTATTTGATAAATTATTCCATTATGTTGTTATGTTTTTAATTGCTTTTTGTTTTTGAGAATTTATTCATTGAAACTGTTAATCATTCGACTTTATAATTCCATTTTTTTTAATGTAGTTGTTTCTGGAGTATTTCTCCATTCAAACTGTTTATTCTTTTAATAATAATTATATTAATAAATTGTTATACTTAAAACATTTTTATTTCTCCCTTTTTCCTGTGATCTTTTTATGCATTAATTTTTATTAAATTATCATGCTTAAAGAATTTTTCCTCTTTTTTTAACATTTTTTTAAAATTTCAATTGAAAAAAAAGTTTCCTCTAATTGGTTATTTTTCGAGGATTTCTCACTCCAAACTGTTTATCTTCTGAAAAATGATTATTCCATTTAAAAAGTTTTTTTTTGAAAATTTCTTCCTTTAAAGTTTAAAATATTGTAGGAACTATTCCTGCCTGGGACGAGAGTATCCAGGCATCATTAGCCTAGCTATTCCTAATCAGTAAGTATTTACAGATGTTTTTGGAAATTATATATAATTATTTCTTCTTTTGAGTCTGGATTCCAAGGTTTCCTTACTGCGTTGTTAAAACATTAAATATTTCTTTTAGATTAAATATTGTTTACGAGATAAAACATTAAATATTTCTCTTAGATTAAATATTGATTACGAGATAAAACATTAAATATTTCTCGTAGATTAAATATTGATTACAAGACAAAACATTAAATATCTATCGTAGATTAAATATTTCTCGTAGATTAAATCTTTCTCATAGATTAAATATTGATTACGAGATAAAACATTAAATATTTATCGTAGATTAAATATTTCTCGAAGACTTATTATTGTTTACGAGATAAAACATTAAATATTTCTTGTAGATTAAATATTGATTACGAGATAAAACATTAAATATTTATCGTAGATTAAATATTTCTCGTTGATTAAATTTAATTGATTACGATATATAACGTTAAATATTTATCGTAGATTAAATATTTCTCGAAGACTTATTATTGTTTACGAGATAAAACATTTAATATTTCTCGTAGATTAAATATTGTTTACGAGATAAAACATTAAATATTTCTCTTAGATTAAATATTGATTACGAGATAAAACATTAAATATTTATCGTAGATTAAATATTTCTCGTAGACTAAATATTGTTCACGAGATAAAACATTAAATATTTCTCTTAGATTAAATATTGATTACGAGATAAAACATTAAATATTTATCGTAGATTAAATATTTCTCGTAGATTAAATATTGATTACAAGATAAAACATTAAATATTTATCGTAGATTATATATTGATTACGAGATAAAACATTATATATTTATCGTAGATTAAATATTTCTCGTAGATTAAATATTGATTACAAGATAAAAAATTAAATATTTATCGTAGATTAAATATTTCTCGTTGATTAAATATTGATTACGAGATAAAATTTTGAAATTTAAAAAAAATGTTTTGGAAAAAAATAATATTTTAATTTTGAAGAAAAAAAATCTAAATTTTTTAACCTTTGTTACTCAATATAGGTAACCCATGGGTTCCCTCAAATTTTGTTTAGCCCGTTCAGTCCAGCCGTTTGCTATGCTATAGCTAACATAAGTATACACATACAAATATATTTAAAGAATCAGATTCAATTTTTTATTTTTTTTATTTTAATATATTTTAGAATCTCATTCAATACATACACAAATATAGATGATCGAATTATCTTTACTATATAGATTTTTCGTAGATTAAATATTGTTTGGGAGAAAAAACTAAATTCGATATTAGAAGAGAGAGATGCATTTGGTCGAAGAATTTATATATTCAGACTAGGTAACAAATTATTCTTAAAATATTTTTAAAGAAAAAAACGAAGGTACATTACTTCAGGGATGTGGGATCCTAAAACTGTTCCAATAAATCAATTCTACGCGTCCGCATTTGTTCTCTTTGAACTTCTATCAAGAGAGGTAAATTCTAAAACTAATTTTTCAGAATTTGTTTGACAGGGTGTTCCAGATTTACAAGGGTACCCTCCAAACCTTAATCTGTTAAAAAATTATGAGGATAAATTGTCGTTTTCTTTGATTTATAAGTTTTTAATTCTGACAATTTCCTTTGTTGTTTCTGGATCAAAAATCTACACACCCCTAATAGAAACCAGAAAAGAAAACATTTAATTTTCAGAGAGAAAGCACGGAGATATTTTTATTATTTTAAGGTTTCTGTTGTGAATCGAACATTTGACTATTTAAATGCACAGTTCCATGAAATTAAGTTTAAATTCTCTTTAAAGGATTAAACTTCAGGTGAAAACTCAGATAGCCGGGGTTACAGTTATAGCAGATATTTCTAATTTTGGATCTCAACATATCAGGAAGAGTACAGAAGATATATTCAGATTCAGATAATACACATTGTCCTACACCTTGTTCGGTTTAAAACGTCATCTACTCTACATCTTAGTCAAATAGCAATTGACCTTTTTCTCATTTGTCCTACAGATCAAATGTCTTCTGCAACATTTGTCCTACAGATCAAATGTTTTCTACATTATTTGTCCTACAGATCAAATGTCTTCTACATTATTTGTCCTACAGATCACATGTCTTCTACATTATTTGTCCTACAGATCAAATATCATTTGTATCATTTGTCTTGCTGACCAAATATCTTTTACCTCATTTTTCCTAAACAAGAAATGATCAGTTTATTGTTTATCTCATTTTATATCATTTGTCATAAAGATAGCTTTGTCCTACGCATCATTTGTTCTATACAGCATTTGTCCTATAACTCGTAATTTGTCAAGCATGCATTATTTGTTCTTCACGTCATCTTTTTCTACACGTCATTTGTTCCAAACGTCATTGATCTACACGTTATTGTTCTACAGGTCATTTGTTCTACACGTCATTGTTCAAGACATCACTTACTCCACACGTCATTGATTTACACGTTATTGTTCTACATGTCATTTGTTCTACACGTCATTGTTCAACACATCATTTGCTCAACACGTCATTTGATCTACACGTCATTTGTTCTACCCGTCATTTGATCAACACGTCATTGTTCTACAGGTCATTTGCTCCACACGTCATTTTTCTACACGTCATTTGCTCTACACGTCATTTGATCAACACACCATTTGTCTAACAAGTAATTTGTCTAACACGTAGTATGCCATACTGTACTACAATCTATCAACTATCACTAACTATCGTGATAAAGAATCAGATAAGAAATTATAATTAACTTAGTTTAAGCACTTTTAAGCTATAATAGTCATACAAATAGATCTCATGAAGTGCCATTTGTTGCTATATTTGACTCTATTTGTCCTTCAAGTTCTTTATTTTTAAATGTTTATTTCTTTCACTATGTGTCCTAAGCTGTATTTATTCCTCACCTACCGGTTTACCATACTTGCTCATTTTCTGTACTAGCTGCCTGGGGTTGGAGCAGATTAAATGTATTGCGGCATTCCTCACTGGTTCCATGCCAGTCTGGTTTAGAAGGAAAATATTATCATAAAATATATGCAATAGTTCAAACCAAACATTTATGCAAGCAACTTTTGATATTTATTTATTCATTTTACATATTTCAGCTGTAAACAAATGAAAATGTCAAAATACATGTGCAAATGCGTTTAAAGTACCTGCAAAACCATAAAGTTTTTTTTCAGAGAAATTTCTAATTATCGAAACAAGAATTTTAAGTTTACTCATGCGCAAGTACTAAATGCTAATCTTTATGGTTAGCACAAATAAAAATGATATTGGTTTGCAACGGTACTAGAATTGGATTGAATCATGTACAAGACTTTTTGTTGAAAACAAATCAAATTGCACAAAGGTTAATGATGTTCTCACATGTACAAAAGGTGCGTATATGCTTAGCAGTATAGGTGGTATCAAACCAGCCAATCTTTTAGTAAAACATTTCACATGTTCATCAAAACTTTTTATTTTATTAGTAAGGGATGTTTTTTTATAAACACTTCCTCGTCTTACATCAAATGATGTTTTGTTATGAAAAACGAAGATGATAATAAACCAAGTTTAGAATTCATGTTGTAAATCATCCTCGTGTATTCAACCTTCTCTATACCATGATGAAACCTTCTCTAGTTCCAAGAGTATCGCAGAATATCATCTTCCACGGGTCAGACAGTTTTTTCTTTACATTTTATGAACTTTCTAGAAGATGCTTTATTATTGGTATAAACTAGTATTTATTGATTAATGTATAAAACATCTAATCATCTTGGCAATTGTCATTTAAACATTACTTAAAGACTTTTAACATTAGTTTTTGTTCAGTGCGAATGGGTGAACGTTTTCTTTTTTTACTGTAAATTGTAAACGTAATTTCGACTCTTCATGTTAAAGGGAGTGTTTGCGAAAAATTAAAGGGGGTATAGGCTTACGGTGAAAAATAATCGCTTTTTATCGCTAACGTAGGGTCCATACGAATTCAGAAATTTGCAATTACGACTCATATCGTAAAATAATCAATTTAGTTTAAAACAAGTCATTCAAATATTCCAAACTAAAGTCTTCGATTATTTTTCGTATTCGTATTTCATCGATATTTCATAATAATTGTAATTTGTTTTATAAACAATGCACCTAAAACGACTTTTTTCCGCTAGGAGTCTCTGCCAAGTGTAATCTTTCAAAGCATCGAGAGCAGAGACATCTGGTGGCCAACTATTTCGGCGTTTTAAGTGCATTGTATGCAAAACGAAAAAAAATATTATAAACTATTAACTATATACCAATGCGTCGAAAAATAATGGATGACTATAGGTTGTAATAGCTGAATTGTTTGTTTGAAATTAAATTTATTTTTTTTACGATCCGTGTCGAATATTGCAACTTTCTGAATTTGTAAAGACGCTACGTTCTTCAGTGTATGTAGTTTTTAACAATTTTCTCGTAATAGGCGCAACAGATAGAAATAAGATTAGTACAGATCAAAAGCGATAATTTTTCGTTTTCAGCTTATATAACCACTTTTTTTTCGCAAACATTCCCTTAACCTTTACGGTGGTAGGCGATTTTATCAACATAATGAAGACGACTTTTTCTTATAGTTTAAATTGTTAACAAGGTTTTTTCGAATTACAAGTTTGCAAGTAAATGAAGCTTTTTTAAACTGGCAAATTCTCTTTGTTTCCATGTGTTTGTTTATCCATGCTGTTTAAATGCTTGGTTTAAATCAAAATTGAAATCGAAAATCGTCTTCATTATATTGATATAATCGCCTACCACTGTAGATTAATGATGTAGAAGATATCGTTGTTTTTCTAGCTTTTTTCTCGCTTCAATTTTAGAAAATCAATTTGCCAGATTAACGTCTATAGTTCCTTAAAGTTAAAACCACAAATGCGTAATCAAGTAAAGATCCCAACAAAACCCAGAATGTTACATAATTAATATATAAAAACAGAAAAAGTGGTTGATTAAGAATCCATTAATGCTTCAGATCTGATTTCAAGAAATTACATTTAGAGGTTCCTCAAAATAATCTTCCAGAGTTTTTGGGGTAAGTCTGACACAAGCATTTCTTTCAAAATATATTTTTAATTCTTGATTTGCAGAGGCTCAGGAGATATGGAGAACGGCAATGTTGTCAGATCAGGAGAAGATATCAGTCAAGATTTTCAAACTTTAATCAATCATTTAATTGATTAATCCTAACTTTTGTATTCATAATCCTCTTTTTTACGTAACATTTTTCAATTTTAATCTTTAGAAAATTTGCATCAAATTATTTGAAAATATTCCTGTGTTGTTTATTGCAATTGTATTAGAAATCTTCATTTTTAAATATTGTCTTTTTCGTGAATAAACTATAAATATTTTTATTCAATTTCTGTTGAATTTTTAATTGATAATCAAATTACTAAGTTATAAAATTTTTGCATTTTTAAGCTGTACCGTGTATGCTCTACAAATTTAATAATTTCAATAATTTTTTCCCCTCTCCCTGGGCACGTAAGTAAAAATAGCAAAGTTGAATGCAGAGTTTATTCAATATATAATATAAACTAGGGCAGAATTACGATTAAGAAAGTATCCTTAAAAACTAATGAGTCATTTGTCAGTGTTTGTCGGCATGTGGTTTACGTCTAGTAGTTTTAGTGTACTCATACATATCTTTTTACTAGCATTATTCGTTTTCTTGTTACATATTACAGATGGTTTAGTTAGAAGATTATTAAATTGTTCAAGCTTGTTGTTTAGTCATCTATAGCGTCTAGTGTTTAAACAAACTTCGTAGAATTCTTTTTCCGACAGGAGCCTTGGTAGCAGTTGAAGCTGCTGTTGTTGCAGCAGATATTACTCCACTTGAAGCAGTTGTTCCAGTTAAAACTAAAATTTCAAACAGTTAATCAGTCTTAGCAATTAACAGAGTATGTGTACTTTGACTGGCCTATTCACCTTATATGATTGAATAAATTTAACACTCTAAGCAAGAAAGTTAAAAAGATTGGTGGGTGTAGGTATCAGTTAACCTTGCAGGCGAGGCTAATTAGATCAGATGTGCATTTGGGGAAGTTTGTATTTGAAAAATAGATATTCTGAATATAAAAATAGATATTCTGAAAATAAGAATAGATATTCTGAATAAAAAAAATATCAGAGTTTGTGGCAAAGACTTAATTTTTTACCTGAGATATCATTTTGAATCTGAGCTATTGCAACATCAGCTATTGCTACAGCAGAGGTCAATGCTGTTAAAACTGTCCCTGCTAGAATAGCTTTCTCATCAGCTGTGCAAGTTGTAGGTAAGTCAGCTCTGATTGCAGCAATGGTTGAACTAATAGTTGGGTTTGATATAGACTCTTTCGCCAATTCTGCAACTTTGTTGCAATTTCTTATAAAATCTCCGCAAGATGCTGCCCGCTTTATCCTGTTTTTATTTGACTGTGCAGTTGCATCTGTCTTAAGACCTTCCAGAGCAGCTTTATTATCAGTAATAGTTTTCAACTTGGCAATGAGTTTTTCAGGAGTACTTCCACCATTGCAGGCAAACATAATAGAAGAGGACTTATCTTGTACTTGTCTGCATGCTGAGAAGCTGCTAGTACAGTTGTTCTTAAATTTGGTGAAGTCTCCGTTGCTAGCAACTAATGAACAGTTTGCAATTGCGTCTGAAGCTGCTTTAATATCTGCAGCTATCCAGCAGGTACAACCTCCAGAAGGGAAACATTTATCTACTGCGGTAACAAGTGCACTCATTTTTGCAGCACAGTCGTCAGCTGCTGCTTTATCGTAGGCTGGCCTATTTGTTTCACATGCTGCTTTTATAGTCTCCGGGCAACTAGCTAAATTTGCTATAGCTTCCTTTATCGCTGCTTCTCCTGCACTGGCATTTTGGCATTTTAGTGCAGATGCATTTCCACCCCCAGCTTCTTTTAACCAGGAAAGATCTAAGTCAAATTCACCCTTTTTGCCTGCTTTTGATGAACCAAGACTTAGAAATTTCTCAATTCTGGATTTCTGCGCATTAAAATTTTTGACATTGTCCTTAACCTGCTTCATGTATTTAACAGCTAATTCTAAACATGCAGCATCAGAGGTACAAGTTGTCTGCCTTGTGGAGACTAACTGCTGAGATTTTTTACTCTTTCTCCTTCTTTGTCTTCTGATCTGTTTCTTTTTATGCTTGATCTTTTCCTTTTCTATTTTCTTCTTTTTCTTTGACTTATCTAAATTTTGTTTCCTGTTGCGAATTCTTCCTAGCTTACTTTCTTTCTTTTCCCTTGCAGCATCATTATCATTAACTGTATTATCTTTTTCTCTTGGAGCTCTGATATCCCTGCTCAAGCTCGCTTCTCCTTCCACCTCGGACAGTACACTGTTTTCAAGATTTTCATCCATGCCAGCTAAAATGGAAAACTGTAGATTAAACAATTATTCAATTCAGTTTGTGTTTAGATAGACTTTTAAAAGGTTTTACGACAATATGCGAACATTTAAACATTAAAATTTCAAACATTTAAAACTTAATAAAAAACATTTAAAAAAATATAAGGGTTTTTTAAAACGATAGTTTTTGGTTCGTTTTCGCCTTGTAGCTAGGATAACACAATTTCATGTTTGATGAAAGCAAACTTCTACAGATTTTAGATCGTTGGATCCTTTTCAAATGGCTGTAAAACCTTTTTTATCTAAAAACGATCTAAACGACTAACAACACTATTATTGCACATAATTATTTTTCCTTGCACCTCTAAATTTCACGACGAACAGCTATTTTTATATTTTGTTTCTGTTTTTCTAATTTTTGATGCAATAGTTTTAGCCTTTGCAGGTAACTGGATATATAAGCGGCTACTTCATGATAATATTAAAAAAAATGTAGGGCCGAAAAAAGAAAGAACAAAATTCATCTAAAATTACAAATTTAAAAATCTACCATAGCTTATTACAAATGAAAAGATTTCTTTTTAATATTGGTTGGCAAGCATTCAACAATTTTCATTCAATTTATGATATTTCAATTAATTCTCTATTTACCTCCAGCGGCAACAAGTGTACAGCCCAAAAGGGCATAAAGTAGCAGTTTGTCCATTACTAAAATTAAACATATTTTGGTAAGTTTATCAAATATTATTTTTATGTCATCAGATTTAATATCATCGTCTCAAAAAAATAAATTTCATAATTATTGGAAGAATTTAGGTTTTAAATATAAAAACATTATTCAATTCGAATAAGTTCCTGAAATTATGTTACCTTGCTGACTGACTTCTACGCCAGTGGAGACCTGTATACTGATCTAAGTAAAATATTATGTACACCAGGGTTTTATAACCATGCAATTAACTGAAAACAAGTGTACTCGAAATCTTAACCAATGAGATTTAAGATATATGCATTTTTCAAGGTAAAAGATTTTGCACAAAATTAGAAATTTACAGCAGAATAATTCTAATTTATATGTTTTTAATATTTAACGGAGAGGAATCAGCAAGGAACATGTTGTTTAACTCATAGATAAAACAAATATGTAACTATTTGAGCTAAAGAAAGCATGCGCGCAAAGTTGCACCTTCTTTGTAAAAAATAATGTTCTGTCCAAAACGTTAAAGTACTGTGTACCAAGTTTCAATATTTCCTGGGTTCCTAAACCGGCTGAGGGGGGGGGGGTCGTTTGACGCCCCCCCCCCCCTCCCCGGATTGTTATGTTGCCCTAGCACTCTCATTTTGACATTATCAATCACCTAGAAATTGTTTGACTTTTAATGAATAGTAATATAAAGGATTTTTGTAAAATGTAAAAAGTAGGGACAATGTAAAAAAATTAATGTAAAATAGCCGCTAACTATTTTGTGACTAAAGCTACAGATCTAAAAACTACATTTTTGTAAAGCTCTTGAAAAGTTTATATTGAAACATGTGTCACATATTAATATTTGTAAAAAAATATTCAGAACAGAACTGTAAACTAGAATAATCAGAACTAATTTACTGTAAACTAGAAATTCAGAACCAATTCACAGTAAACTAGAATATTCAGAACCAATTCACTGTAAACTAGAATAATCAGAACCAATTTACTGTAAACTAGAATATTCAGAACCAATTCACTGTAAACTAGAATATTTACAACCAATTCACGGTAAACTAGAATAATCAGAACCAATTTACTGTAAACTAGAATAATCAGAACCAATTCACGGTAAACTATAATATTCAGAACCAATTTACTGTAAACTAGAATAATCAGAACCAATTCATTGTAAACTAGAATATTCAGAACCAATTCACGGTAAACTAAAATGTTCAGAACCAATTCACGGTAAACTAGAATAATCAGAACCAATTCACTGTAAACTAGAATAATCAGCACCAATTCACTGTAAACTAGAATATTCAGAACCAATTCACTGTAAACTAGAGGTCCTGAGTTGGGAAATTTTGTGATACTCACGAACGCTTGATCACGTTATTAACTGTGGTTTCTTTTTATTTGAGGATCAATGCTCATTCTCCTCATTTTAGTTATCCCTTCAGGGTACAGTTAAACAGCAGGATATTGAATAAAGATTAGGTTAATCTGCAAATAATCAAAAGATGGAGTTTTGACCTATGTTCTGTTTAATTTTAACATTGCATTAGTCTTGGAATATTGATTAAAAAAATAAGTAGCAATTTTTCTCATCATTTAAAAAAGTATAAATAAGATTTAGATATTTATTTGATCTCTGATTCAAATAAGATTAAGATTAATTTTGATGCTGAATTATAAATGTGGCAAACTCGGTACATAATAGATCTGGTCGAATCTATCCGTTCTTTTAAACATTTGACATTTTTAAAAGTTTTTAAGTGACTTCACAAAAATCAGTGAATTTTGATAAATTGGAAAACTTTAGTCTTTTCTCAGGTCTACTTTTATCAGAGTATGAACAATATTGGCTCTGACAGAAGGAAAATAATTTATTTTCATTAAATTTTACAATATTTTTAACTATTTTTATGATCAGAAGAAAATATTTTGAAATTTCTGTATTTCTTGTTCTTCATTTTCTTTTTGTTTTCTTTCATACACCTTTTAATCATATATCAGCTAATTTTGAGGATGTTGTCGTAATTAGCTACTTTACAAGAAAAGAAATATTTGAAAAAGATCTTGCATTTTTCCTAACCGTGTAGTTAATTGAACTAGCTGGTAATCTTTACTCAGAGCTCTCTAAATTGAATTCTTGGGGGCACAGGGAGTGGGTG